TATGGAACAGGTTCAACGCTACCGTGGCGCCTTGGTCCAATAATATCATGCCATATGTAATTAGTGGACTGGAATGCCACGTGGTGGTGAACTCGTTTAATACAAGTTGCTCCCCTTGATGAGAATTTTAAGACCATTAAACTACATTGTGGCAAGGTTATTCTGATATCAATTGAAAGTTGATGCCATGGACAACGATTGTCCGGCGTCGGTACGGAGTTGCGTCAGCTGTAGATATAGACTAGGCTAAGGGACGGACTTCATCTCTTCTATTCTCTTCACTTACACCTTACACTTCCGCTGAGTCTAACGAGGCTCAGGTGCGGAGGGCCGCAACTTAAGCAATTCACCGCAGTCTGCGCAGCCCTTTAGTTTGTCTGCTGCATTATGATTTGCAGGTGAATTTGTTTGATGAAACATGTATGTAAGGACATTGAAAAATCAATCATATCATTGTTACGTGCAAGTCTAAATGCCGTAGCTGCTTCAGAAGAAGAATCATCTAGTGCAGCTTATTACAATTCGAAGCCGGAACCACCAGAGTTAGGCCAAAAAATCATTAATCTGCCATATGAAAATGGTTTTGCAATGTGGTGCCGTGGTCGCACCACGTAGCCTCCGATTAACGAATGCGGTCCTCATCCGCTTCCTCATCTCTCGCTCTGATAAGACTCCGGAAACGCTCTTGACAACAGCAAGTTCTTCATCCTAATTATAAAAGCAAAGAAGCCGTAGCATGGGAGATGCATCAATCCAATCCCAATATACCTGCAAGGTCGACGACAACGATAAACTGAGTTGTGGTCAAGCTGAATCCGTTTCAGACGAGTAGCAATATACATGCAGTCCAGTTTCTGCAATGTTTGTTTGTCGAGGTCAAAAAAACATACCATAAGGGAGCGTACGAGGATGAGAGGTCGAGAAATGAATAAGGCCACCTGTAAAGAAGTTATGATGTTCATGAGCATTAGTTTAAGTTCTTCAATCTCAAACAAAAGTAATTCGAAATGCAGTTTTACGCCATGGATTTGAAAGCATGGAATATCCACTGGAAAATCACGAACACTCCCGTCCACAGCACAAAATATGCGATTCGGAACAATGGAAACCGCTGAAAGGAGGAAAAAGAGAGAAGATTTTAAGCTTTAATCATGAAAACAGAATAGCAGATGCCTTTGAAATGGACAAGGAACCGAACGTACCATGTTATTCAAAACTGCCTCGCCAAGGAGGAAAACGGCATTGACCGAGTGCATACTGACCAGCATCTGCAGTTGAACGAAGCGCAGACGCGTCAAATAAAAGCCGTTCAGTATTGGAAATTAGAACAGCAACTCAAATCTAGTCACAATGTATAGAAGAAACCTTAGTCAATGAAAATAGCAACCTCGTACTTACAAAATCCAGTGTGTCAGATTTGGACAGAATGAGCCAATATACGCAATCAGTGAGAACCGCGGCACCTCCACACATCTATACACATGAACAAAGAGAAGGAAATAACCATGTTGAGATAACAGAAACTCAGACATTACCTAACTTTAAGAATCCAAGTCCTAATTTAACCACAACTGCAGCTGCTAATTGGAGAAAACCTACCTGATAAATAATTTGAAAGATGTATTCGCATGCACCTGCACCTTCGCGGCCGGGATATTCTTCATGAGTAAGTCTTTTAGATCCACTGAACGTATTGCCACTCTCCCCTAGTGTCGGAGCAACATAAGCGCCTCGCTCTTCATCCTCACCAATCCTATTGCGATGCTTATAAATTCCGCAAAGCGAGACTGAAGATCCAAACTATAAAATGTCTTCAGAACATATGAAAACTAGGGATAATGTGATTCGAGGAAACCCAAGCATAATGACTGTCATAGTTCATCAACCATAATGACCATCTTTGAGTAGGAAGATTAAACCGAGCAGCCGAAGCTACAAAAACGAACTACATTTTATATTTACAGTACACCACACTGAAAAACATACCCCGAAATAGAATGTGACCAAAGCAAACGTCCACCTGTTAAGCACAATAGGGCAACAGAGTACATCAGCATATAGAGCGTTGCACATATACAATCAACACGATAGGATTCAAATGCAAACAGATAAGATAGCTTACTGAGTATAATAGTAAAAGATGCCGCCTCCGTCAAGAGCAACATTGGCAACTATCAACCCCAACATCACAAAGAAAGCGATTACTCTATAAGCAAGTAACCACGCGGGATGAATTCCCTTAAGGCACGTCTTCCAGACTTCACCCTCGTACAAAGCCCCCACCGCTTCTCGCTCATCTTCTGTTCTCCTCCCCGTTGTTGATTTTTTGAAACCTTCGTATTTCCATATAAGAATTGAGGCTGCAACGATGGTAGATAAGATCCATACTGCACAAACGAGAAACCTCCAATTCAACCAATAACTCGGATCAGTCGTATCCGCAGTCATGACGGGTTGCCTAGTACTAGTGCGGTTGGATGATCCTGTGAAGAAACTCATAGCTCGTGAGTTTCACTCGTACTTGCCCCACTAATTACGTTATCTAATTTGCCACAGAAATTGCAAAAACATAATTGCTCAAATCAGAGAGCATGGAAGAAACCATAACAACCCTGCAAATTTTTGTGACAAAAACTTGGTAACAGTTTACATGTCGAATGTTAACAAACAAACAAACAAAATATCGTACAAATCAAACAACGATTCGACAGAAGTTTGAACTACAAATGAAGGAACACAAAAAACTGCAGTACGAAAGGAGCATAATTTAAAAGCCGAAGAATTATTTCAAGTACAAATGCGGGAGAGAACAAAATAATCAGCAGAGCTTTTTCATGGTTAAATTCCTTACCTTGTGGAGGACTGGATTGGATTGGAGAAGAATCAGAAGATCGAAAAGAAGACGGAATTTTTCCCCTACCAGTCAAACACAAAGTCAACAGGCTCAGCTATTGTTTTTTATTTATATTTCAAATTCGGTGGGATTAGGTGGTGCTACGTCTTTCCTCAACAACCACACCACTCAAAATAATCCACGTGGTTCTCGTGCCAAATCAGAATGCTAAATTGGTGTAAATTTAAACTTATAATTTGAATAGATTGATAAAAGGAGTAATTAGGTTTTCATCCTTATTTTTTACTACTTTATTGATTAAAACCTTATTACTTTTCAATTTTTGATCAAGGTCCTTTGTATTAATAATATCATTAATTATTTCAATAATAAAATATTTTTTATTTCTAAATATATTCATTTAATATTAAAAATATTACAATTAGTATATTTATATTTATGGCTAAATTTTTTATCATATATTTTTATTTTTAGTTTGTACCCATTTTTAATTTGCAACCCTTTTTTAATTTGTACCAATTTTCTTTTCAGTTTTAATTTGTACCCATATATTAATTTCTTTTTGTGCCCATATTTTTTAAAGTTTTATTTGTATTGTACCCATATTTTTTTATTTATTTGTACCCATTTTTATTTTTGCTAAATGTACCCATTTTGAAGAATGTATCCATGTTTTGATACAATAATTTTTTGGTTATTTTTTATGAATGTACCCATGTTTACACACACACACACAATAGTATATTTATATTTTAATATTTTTAATCCCACAAATTATGGTTTTTTATTTAAAATCTCATTACTATAAACAACTATAAATTTTAATTTTTAATTTAAAAAATATAGTAACGTACATAGAAATAAAGTATCAATTAATTTCAGGGACTTGGATCAAAAATTGAAAACCAACAAGGTTTCAGTCAAAGACTATTCATAACTAGGGACCGCATCCAAAGTCTCCCTTGATAAAATTACGTGGTAGAACAACCTTTTTTACGATTTCTTTTTTATTTTAGCTAATATTTGACTATCAAGAGCATATTTTATAATGGCAAATCAATGTGGAACGACGTTGATTATTAAGATTAAATACACGCAAATTATATATTTTTGTGAAAAGCGTTTTTCGGATAACGTGATTACTTATGAAACCAAAAATCAATTCAATCAAGCAAATAATATTTGGTAAATAAGCTAAGTAAAATTTATATAGCCAACGGCCAATATATGAATATTAATGGTACGAAGCTTTTCCATATGGTTGTCAGTTGTTGGGGAACAAATCTTACTAGATAGTTGCAAGATTTGGACAACAACAACAACAACAACAACAAAGCCTTTTCCCACTAAGTGGGGTCGGCTATATGAATCCTAGAACGCCATTGCGCTCGGTTTTGTGTCATGTCCTCCGTTAGATCCAAGTACTGTCTTTTCTTAGAGTCTCTTCCAAAGTTTTCCTAGGTCTTCCTCTACCCCTTCGGCCCTGAACCTCTGTCCCGTAGTCACATCTTCGAACCGGAGCGTCATTCGGCCTTCTTTGCACATGTCCAAATCACCGGAGCCGATTTTCTCTCATCTTTCCTACAATTTCGGCTACTCCTACTTTACCTCGGATATCCTCATTCCCAATCTTATCCTTTCTCGTGTGCCCACACATCCCACGAAGCATCCTCATCTCCGCTACACCCATTTTGTGTACGTGTTGATGCTTCACCGCCCAACATTCTGTGTCATACAACATCGCTGGCCTTATTGCCGTCCTATAAAATTTTCCCTTGAGCTTCAGTGGCCTACGACGGTCACACAACACGCCGGATGCATTCTTACACTTCATCCATCCAGCTCGTATTCTATGGTTGAGATCTCCATCTAATTCTCCGTTCTCTTGCAAGATAGATCCTAGGTAGCGAAAACGGTCGCTTTTTGTGATCTTCGCTAGATTGCTCCGGTCATTAGCATGGATAAGTATATAAATGGATAGAGATAGGAAAGCAAACACAAGATGTACGTGGTTCACCCAGATTGGCTACGTCCACGGAATAGAAGAGTTCTCATTAATTGTGAAGGGTTTACACAAGTACATAGGTTCAAGCTCTCCTTTAGTGAGTACAAGTGAATGATTTAGTACAAATGACATTAGGAAATATTGTGGGAGAATGATCTCGTAATCACGAAACTTCTAAGTATCGGAGTGTGGTGTCGTCTTGACTTGCCTTATCTGTCTCATAGGTAGATGTGGCATCTTCTCTGGAAGTACTCTTCCTCCATCCAGGGGTGGTATCTTTAACTGGTGGAGATGCACAAGGTAATGTATCAATTTCACTTGAAGCTTACTTGTAGTTTCAGGCTTGGTCAAGCGCGATACAAACCATGTAGTAGGAGTCCCCCAAGTCGCCGAGCTAGGGGGTCTGCTGAAAGAGGTGACAGACAAGGTAAGCAATCAGAGCTCCGACTGATTGTTCACCTTCTCCCCATCTTGCAGCAGCATGAAGGATAAAGAGAAGAAAAAATGAGAAGAGATGATATGAGATACTTTTGCTTTTGAAGAAGTAACTTTCCACAGGCTTATTCTTGAACTGAGCTGGAGGGTTTTCTGGTTTCCTCCAGAGTATAAGGCCGACTGAAGAATTTGAGGGTCAAAACAAGTCCATCAAATCTAGAGTACGTTCCACCCTGCTGATATGGGATACTTTTGCTTTTGACAGCGTAATGGATGTATCGGCACGTGTGCTGGTACGCTTGTCTCCACATGCTTCCTTGTATCCTTCGCACTTGCCCTATCTGTTCCTCAAGCAGATGCGGAATCTTCCCTGGAAATATAAGATGTTGAAGATGAGTACTCGAGAGCAATGCCAGGTAAGTAATCAGGTAAGGGGTTCCAGGCAGTCAGTTCCTGGCTGGAAGCTTGATTCCAAGTGCTGACTGATTGCTCTCTTTCTCCTTGTCTTGCAGGTAAAAACAAGGCCAAAGGAAAAGACAGGGAAAAAGCATGATATGGGATACTCTTGCTTTTAACCCTGATGATATGAGATATTCTTGCTCTAGTATAGCTTGTTTGCAGAGGTATTATCGGGGGGAAGGAAAGCTGAATATTTCGAAAGGCTTCGTTGGGAGTGCCCTCTCAGATATGATGAAGGGTTGAGCATTTTTGCAGGTCTGCCTGTCTGTTGGGGATGGAGGTCGACATATATAGGAGTCTCCCTAAGAAGTAGTAATGTTATTCCTTTACCCTGCTTGGTCATAGCACGGTAGTGGGAGCTGCCAGTTTCACATGTTTTTAACTCTGTCAGAGCACTTTGAAAAAGTGGTCTGTGGTATCTGGCTCTCGAGATTCGGAGAACGATGCCTCTTCGATTTTTTGAGAAAGCAATCATGCTGGGGGTCTGGCTCTCGAGATTCGGAGAGCAGTGTCTCTTCGATTTTTGAGAAAGTAATCATGTTGGGAGTTTGGCTCTCGAGATTCGGAGGGCGGTGCCTCTTCGATTTTGGAGCAAGCAATCTGATGGGAGTGTTGTCTCGAATGTGAGTAAAGGTTGGGCATGTTTGCTAGTCTACCTTGCCACGAAGCACAAAAGGTTGACACACAGGGACTTTCCAATTATCCAGCAATGGTACTGTTCCTTTACCCTCTCTTCGATTTTGAGAAAGTAGTCATGTTGGGAGTCTGGCTCTCGAGATTCGGAGGACGGTGTCTCTTCGATTTTGGAGCAAGCAATCTTGTTGGGAGTGTTTTCTCGAATGTGAGTAAAGGTTGGGCATGTTTGCTAGTCTACCTTGCCACGAAGCACATAGGTTGACAAACAGGGACTTTCCAATTATCCAGCAGTGGTACTGTTCCTTTACCCTTGTGGGTAATAATATGGTAGCTAGACCTTCAAAATTTATGTGTCTAAACTTTGTTAGTGCTGTTTCTTTGCTATTCTTTTACCTTTCTTGGTCAGAGCGATGTAGTGGGAGTTGCAAGCTTCACGTGCTCAACTTTGGCAGAGAACTTTGGCAAAAATTATCTGTGGTACCCATGAGCTATTGTTGCGTGTGGGAAGTGGGTGATTGAACAGTAAGATTCATGTGCTTTCTACTTCACCAGAAGTCTTCGACAGAATGCCCATAATTTCTGCAAAGCTGAGTGTGCGTGTAACAGGTGCTGACAAGGCTAGAAAAGTAGGTGCCTCTTCGATTTCTGAGATCGGCCCTCGTGGTCTCTAAGCAGCCCAGCTTTTGAGAAAGCGAGCGCCTCTTCGATTGATTCGGAGAACGATGCCTCATCGATTTTTGAGAAAGCAATCATGCTGGGGGTCTGGCTCTCGAAGATTCGGGGAGCAGTGTCTCTTCGATTTTTGAGAAAGTAATCATGTTGGGAGTCTGGCTCTCGAGATTCGGAGGGCGGTGCCTCTTCGATTTTGGAGCAAGCAATCTTGTTAGGAGTATTTTCTCGAATGTGAGTAAAGGTTGGGCATGTTTGCTAGTCTACCTTGCCACGAAGCAACAGGGACTTTCCAATTATCCAGCAATGGTACTGTTCCTTTACCCTCTCTTCGATTTTTAAGAAAGTAGTCATGTTGGGAGTCTGGCTCTCGAGATTCGGAGGACGGTGCCTCTTCGATTTTGGAGCAAGCAATCTTATTGGGAGTGTTTTCTCGAATGTGAGTAAAGGTTGGGCATGTTTGCTAGTCTACCTTGCCACGAAGCACAGAGGTTGACACACAGGGACTTTCCAATTATCCAGCAGTGGTACTATTCCTTTACCCTTGTGGGTAATAATATGGTAGCTAGACCTTCAAAATTTATGGGTATAAACTTTGTTAGTGCTGTTTCTTTGCTATTCTTTTACCCTTCTTGGTCAGAGCGATGTAGTGGGAGCTGCAAGCTTCACGTGCTCAACTTTGGCAGAGAACTTTGGCAAAGTTATCTGTGGTACCCATGAGCTATTGTTGCGTGTGGGAAGTGGGTGATTGAACAGTAAGATTCATGTGTTTTCTACTTCCCCAGAAGTCTTCGACAGAACTGCCCATAATTTCCGCAAAGCTGAGTGTGCGTGTGACAGGTGCTGACAAGGCTGGAAAAGTAGGTGCCTCTTCGATTTCTGAGATC